ATAACAATTAACATGATTTTTCACCTAATATGCTGATGCATCATTCCATTCTGACTTGAGGTTATCAGTAGTAGAAGAATCAGCGTCAAGAATCCCAACATTGTCATGTGAAGTGTCAGCGTAAGATTTAACAGTTTGAGCCATGAGACACTTAACTTCATCTTCTGAAGAAATTTCCTTTTCAAAAGCACACGATAGAGTGATCATCATCTCTTGAGCAGTTGAGCTATTTTGGACCAAACGATAGACACAAAAAGGAAGTGAGTTTCCAATAGTAATTCTAGATTTTACATCAAGACTCATCATCATTTTCTATTCCTTGTTATAACATGGATCAAGCTTCCCTTTCACCTTACTTCGAGATGCACCATTGTTTGATGATTGATGTGAAGCAGCTATAGGACCTTTGTTGACGACGTCGAGCATATCAAAATCCATGAACTCTAGAACATTCATGGCCTTTGATTTCCAATCAAAGAAGTTGTATTGGTCAAACGGAGGAATCTTGTTACAAACAGATGACTTAGGAACTAAGGAAGATGACATGATTACTTGAGTGTATCACAAACCTGCTCTGACACCAATTGAAGGTTTGTATTTGATCGGATACACTTCAAGTATGGACGAAATAATCCACAGAAAGTAAATGACACAAGAGTTCTCCAAATGTTCCTTTCACCAAGAAAAGGGAGTTTTTCTTCACAAAGAAGACGGGTTTGTCACAAAGACAACAAAGACAATTGACACAAAGCTACGAATAAAACTACTAGACCACAACTATTAAAACAACATGAGGGTTTACCCTAATGTTGTATATATACTAATCTATACATGTATATCCCTTGATTGACGGGATTGAATTGAATCTATACTAAAAACCGATCTTATCATAAAGATATGGGATCAGATTTATTCTATATTTATCTATAATAACCACCTAATATACAAAAGATTACAATAGAACAACTATAAGTTGACGTTGTTCAACTTGTGAAGCTGACGTTGGCGCTGTCGGCCTGTAGACGCTGACGGTGATAAATCGGCATGTTATGTGTTTGACTCATCAGATCATAAGGTGTGACCTTACATATTCTAATTTTCCTGGCCTCGATGTGATTGTCTAGCAGGATGTCGTGCTGCAAGTAGTCGATAATTGGTGTCATCCAGTTGGGTTGTGTCGGTGACAAGGTGTGCACTTGGTACTCCTCTATGCTCCTTTCTTTGAGAACTTCGACCAGGACATCCTTGGAGAGATGTCCAAAGCACGTCGATGCGAGTTTTCTAAGAGTGCCTGCCCTCCTATTCTCGCTTCGTTGTATCTGATTGATGGCGAAACTCTTGAATGGTTTTACTAGCCGCTGTATGGCCTTCACGTATTTTTCCTTTCGCTTATCCCTTGCTTCAAATTCCCCTTTGACTTGGTTGGCTGTTAGTCTCGAGTCCGTTAGGGCTGTTATCTTGTCCTCCCCCATCATCTTTGTTAGTCGTAGACCGGCTAGCAAGGCTTCGTACTCAGCCTCGTTATTTGAGGTATGAAAATCAAAATGGAGTGCATAAGTGACTTCTTCTCCATCTGGGCTTGTTAATATTACGCATGCACCCGATCCCTCTTTACTAGAGGCTTCATCTGTGTACAGGGTCTAGCTTTGGTGATCTGCTTGCTTGGGTGCATCCTTCTGGTACTCTCCTTAGGCGATTGGTTTTATTTCATCTGGTATTTCGAGTAGGAAGTCTGCTAGTGCTTGACCCTTGATACTCATGCATGGGCGGTAGCTAATATCGTGTTCCCCCAACTCAATTTCCTATTTTTCCAAACGTTCTAATATATCTGGCTTGAGGAGCACCTGCTTGATCAGGCAACTGGTCAACACCTCCACTTGGTGTGCCTGGAAGTAGCGCCTTAGGTATCACGCTGCATAGATGAGGGATAATACAAGCTTTTCCAGGATGGGTAGTTTACTTTTGGGCCCTGTAAGGACCGCATAACAAAGTAAACCGGCAGTTGTCTCCCTTCCCTTTCTATTGCCAACACAAATGAGATTGATTCATTAGAGGCTGATAGATATACCTATAATGTCTCGTCTGGGATTGGGCTGGACAAGGTTGGCAGTTTGTGCAAAGCTTCTTTTAAGTGTCGGAGGGCTGCCTCTGCTGCTGGTGTCCACTGGAAATTGATTTTCTTAATGCACCCTTTGAGTGTTTGGAAGAGTGGCATGGCTATTTTCGCTGATATGGAGATGAATCGGCTTAGGGCGGTCAACTTGCCATTCAAGCCTTGGGCGTCTCTCAAGGTTTGTGGGGATGACACCTTCATCCATTCATCCACCTTGACTAGGCTGGGCTGGATCCCCTCCTGGGTGACATAATACCCTAGGAATTTCCCTTCCTCTACTCCGAAGGTGCACTTCCTCGGGTTTAGTTTCATTCTGACCCTCTCTAGAGTTTTGAGCGTCTCCTCCACATCTTCCAATGGCCTTCCTTTGCCTAGGATTTTGATGACCATGTCATCTACATATAGCTCGATGTTCCTGCCGATTTTCTTTGCAAACACCGAGTCGGCGAGCCGTTGATAGGTTGCCCCTGTGTTTTTTAAACCGAACAACATTTTCTTGTAGCAGAACGCACCATGCTCTGCATAAAAAGCAGTATTCTCCTCGTCTTCCTTGCTCATCAGGATTTGGTGGTATCCCATATATGCATCTAGAAAGCATTTCAGTTTGAACACTTGTCAGGACTCCACTTTTTGGTCGATCTTTAGTAGGGGTAGAAATCCTTGGGCCAGGCTTTGTTTAAATCAGATTAGTGAACCTACATACGCCATGTGTCATCGTGATTATTGACCATGACCGGGTTTGCGATCCATGTTGGGAATATTGCTTCACATAGTATTCCTGCTTTGGTCAGCTTGGCTACTTCGGCATTGATCTATTTGTTCCTGTCTCTTCCCTGGACACACTTCTTTTGCTTTACCTCCTTGGTCCCAGGCTTTATCATTAGCTTGTGTTCTATGACCTCTCTGTTTACCCCTACCATGTATGTGGGTGTCCAAGCGAAGACATACTTATATTTCTTCAACAAGTTAATCAGCTCCTGTCTCGTTACAGGTGAAAGGTTGATCCCTATGCTAACTGGCTGGTCTGGGTACTCCATATTGATGACAACTCCACCACTGGGAAATTCTAATAGTGGCTTCTTGGCTTCTTTCGTGATTTTCTTTGGTTGCATGATCTCGTAGCATCGTAGTTCTTTTGGTCGTGTGGCTAAGATTGTCCCCAGCCCTTCCGTCGTGTTGAATTTTACAATTTCATGTATGATGGACGGTATTGCTCCGAACCTTAATAGGGTTGTTCGTCCCAATATGATGTTGTGCTCTGTTGGATGTCGTATGACGATGAAATCGATGAGAGCCATCTTCCACCTTGTTCTGTCATGGCTGGTTAGTGTAAACGGTAGGTGTACCGTGCCTAGGGGCCATAAGCTATGCCCCGTAAATCCTGACAGCTGTCCCTGTTAGGTCTAAATGTTGCAGGCTTAAGACCTTCCTTCCACCTGTGAGGGAGAAGGCGGAATCAATGCTCGTGGATGATGTCCGCTGAGCTGCCAGTGTCCACGTATACATGATGGATGATGGTATTCCTTATGCATCCTTGGATTATCAACGGGTTATCTCCTCGCCACCCTGCAGGGCGTGGGTCCGTCGCTAAGAGAGTTAAGCCTTGCATGGATCATGTGATGTGATCTACTCCGTAGCCACTCCCTGGCCTTTCTCTCTTTTCTCGTATGGTCAAGATTTCTTGGGGCTGGTCGTTCGCTTTTGCACCATCCTTGATATTATCCGCGTCAAATTTGGTGTGGATGCTTCGCGCTATCTCTATCAAATTCCCTTTTAGTTGTTTCTCTTCTATTTCTCGCTTTAGCACTGAGAAGTTGATAGTATCGTGAGTTTTGTTTTTATGGTATTCGCAATAGCATCCCTTCACCCCCTTTCCCGTCTTCCTATCGGCAACAACGTAGATTTCTGGTCATCTCCCTCTTCTTTCGTCCCGTGAGAATGGTTTGAAATGCCCTTGAAGGCGTATCGCGCGCCCGAAGTGTCTGCTTCAACCCTGGCTCTCTTGGTGGTGGGTAAACGGGTGGTAGTGTTTTGTGACCGGGGCGGTCATGGCGTTAAGGTATGCTTGTTTTGCTGCCTCTCTTTCTTCTTGCCTTAGGTAACATTCTACATTCTCTTTCAACTCGACTCACGTTTGGGGTTTCTTCCCTATGAGCTTCTGGGACAATGGTTCGGGAAGGAGGCCCCACGTGAAAGATCCAGCTATTAACCCTTTGTCGTGTTCTGGGACGTCTAAGGTAGCGTTGGTGAATCTCACAAAATATTCTCTCACCGTCTCTCCCTCCTTCTACTTACAACCAATGATGGAGTGGGAGTCTCCCTTGTACTTCCGCAGTTGCATGAAGTTCGTCAGGAAGAGATACTTCAGTTGACCAAAGTTGTAGATGCTTCCTGGGCGGGGGGTCTTAAACCACGTTCCTGCGTTGTCATCTAATGTTGTTGGGAAGTATGTACACCAGAACCGTTCGTCTAGCTTTGGGCACTCGTACGTGTCAATATAGCTATCTAGGTCTGTAGTCCCATTGTAAGTTTTGAGGTGTGGCAACTTTGCAGTATTCGGTATTTCATAGTCTAAAAGTTATTTTGCGAAAGGTGATGCCACGCTTCGTGACAAGCAATCTTGGTTTGGGATCTGAAGGATGTGACTGGGGTGGAATTGTTGGATAGTGAGGTACAGTTGTACCAACATGTTGTTGTATGCTGAAAAAGGCATTGGAGTTGGTCCATAGAACCTTTGGGGGTGAAACGTGAAGGTGAGCAGTGAGTTTGTTGTAAATGGCTGGTTTATTGGTAGCAGCTGGGTTGTTAAAGGCGATTGATTTACTGTCAACGACGAATGTTGTTGTAGCGGAGTAGATAATGGTGTGGTTGTTGTGGACAGAGTTGCATGGAGGGTGGCGGCCTGTTCACCAGCGGTTTGGTTTACTAATAGGGGTGCCATTTGCGCGAAAGTGAATGCCCCACCGGTGGTTTGCACTACCGGCGACATCATGCTACTGATAATTGACTTTGCCTAATTTTTGTTAAAAGGAAAAGCTTACGGTGGTGTGGTGAGAGAAGACATCGATCCTTCCATTGTTGGCCTCCAAAGTCGGCTTATCGGAGTGTTAACCGTTGTTGGACCACCGTATTGTGTTGTTTTGGTTACAATGGATGTCGACGGGTGTGATGAAGTAGTGGCGGTGATGTCCAGTTCAAATGACATCATAGATCTTATTGGGATTCCCCGTGTTTCACTAGCCTCACCGGTGTCTTATGTTGTCATGTTCAAGGTTGATGATGTGTGGTTTTTGGTTGCTTGTGGTCACACACTGGATGGCGCTAAATGATGTGGCCTGGTCCTCCGGTTATCTCAAATGATGGTTCTGATCACAGTGAAAGGGTATTTGGTGCTTCGAGAAGACCTGCGAGGTCACAACATAGTGAAATCGTCAGCCGTTTTCCGGGAGGGGCTCCCGAAAAAACGCTTCGACGGTCATGTTGGGTCAAAAATATGGTTTATACTTTACTTTTCTAGGAAATTGTAGTTTTTGGTCTTGAACCGAAAATAGCCTTGGGTTTACGGTTGTAAACGCGTTTACGGTTGTAAACGCGTTTATGGTTGTAAACGCGTTTGCAGCCTCTGTTCCCTATATATAGTGTTAGTAGGTGTCAGAGTATAAGAGAGTCTTTAAGGCTAAGAGAGAGAAGAGAGAGAGGAAGGGAGCATAAGTGTGTGTAAGTGTGTGAATCTTGTGTAGGGGAACTTCATTCTCATCCTCAATTCAAACAAGATTCATATTATTCTTCTACTCCTTCTTCTTCATTGGCATCATCCGCTTGATTGGGATTCCGCACCATCAAGCGGATCTGATTGATACACAAACAGATTTGGGACTTACAAATGGTATCAGAGCTTGGATTGTATCAATCATTTTGGCCAGAGCTGGAGTGTTTTTTATCTTATTTTTGAAGGATTTTTGCGTTTTTGGATAGATCTTTGAAAAATAAGGGGGGTTTGTTCTTCGTGTTTTTGATAAAAACGAGTTTTTGATCGAGTTTTGGAGCAAAAAGTGGTGAAAAACGCTATTTTTCACGTAATCTGCGAAGTGTTCTCGTCCATTGAAGGGTTCACGGCCGTTGAAGGGTTCACGGCCGAAGGAGGGTTCTCGGTCGAATAAGCTTTTGCGGCTAGGGTTTCTCGGTGGCGGCCGTAATCACGAATTAGGGTTTCTCGGACGTTTACGGCTCAACAGTTTGCGGCCCTCGGAGTTCACGGCCAGCCTCGCACGATCACGGTCCTAGCGTTCACGGCCCAGTAGGATTCACGGCCGAGCACGTGTTCGGCCCACTTTCGTTCAGCATTCAGCAGCCTCATTCAGCGTTCAACAGCCTCGTTCAGGATTCAAAAATATTTGGGGTTGCCAAGATTCAAACTCGCGCCACTCCCTTCCTCAAACCAGCGTCTTACCATCTGATATAGCATATCACACGCTGATCATCTTCCGTTTTTAAATCTTAAGGATTCGCTTTCTCGGTTCCTAATTTCGCAATTTTAACACTTTTAGCCCAAAATTCAAAATTTTTTTATTTTAAAATTCCATTTTCAACCCAAAATTTTAGTTTTTATTTTTTCACTTTCTAAATTGACTTTTGACCTAAAATTTTGACTTTGACTTTCAAGTTTGACCTTTGACTTTAAACTTTGACTTTCTCGTTTAACTTTCAAATCTTCAAATTTAGTTTTTCGGTTTGACTTTTAAGTTTGACTTTTTAAATTTGACTTTTAAGGTTGACTTTCTCGGTTTATAGTCAAAGGGCATATTTTTTTAAACAATGAGTTCTTCAAAAATTAAAGTCAATGAAATTTCCTTGGAGAATTTACGTGTGCATTACGAATTGCTACGTAGAGAGAACGAGGAACTAAAATACGAAGGGTACCAACTTAGGAAAGGCCAAAAACCATTGAAAGATCAATTAGTGGCCAAAGCAAATTCCTATAAGAAATTACAGGCAGAATACAGTGACAAGTGTGTTCATTATAAATATCTTAAGAAATATTTTGATGTTGTGACTGCCGAACTTGATGCATTAAAAGCAAAATATAAAGATGCTGAATTCAACTTTAAGAAATTTGATGTGTCAAGTGAGGTAGTTGTGTCCATGATAGAAAAACAATTAACATTTAAAGATAATCAAAACAAGGTTCTAGGCTATCATGATGTTCCACCTCCTTTCAATGATCACTACACTTTCACCCCTCTGACTAAGGAAGAAATTGAAAATGAAGCACACCTTAAGTATGGCCAACACCCTGCTTCAGCTTCAGTTAAGACTGAAAAATCAGGGCCAACTGAGGGTCTTGAGGTGAAGAATTCTAATATTTCTACTTCTTGTGCAGGTAAAGTAGCGGAAGATGAGAACAAGGAGAATTCTGTTGAACAAACCAATGTCTCCTTGAACTCTGAACCTGTTGCTTCTAACTTAGTCACTCCTAACAAACCTGCTGTTGTGAAATACAGGCCACCAATTCCAGTGAAACAGAGTGCTTGTTGCAAGTGTGCTTGTGGGAACAATAAAAGACAAGGCAAGGACACGCCACCAGGGGCAGGAAGAAACAACTTTCCAGTGAAGAAAAGACATGTTTTCACTGTGGAACACCTGGACACATTTCCAGAAATTGTCCAGATCGCGCATATGTTCCCTACTACGCACAAGGCTGGCAGAACGCGCAAAGTGGGAGATTCTCCAAAGGAAATCATTCGAGCTCACATTCGCGCTATGGTGATTGGAACGCTCACAAGGCCAAGAATCCAACTCCGAAGAACAAGAAGGGAATGCCGGCCAAGAAGTCCAATCCAAGAGATGATCCAGTAAAACCAAGATTAGTTATCTCAAAGTCATCTCGAAGATCGGCTTCAAGTTCAAAATCAAGTGCTGAGGCACCCATCCGATCCAACAAGAAATGGGTTAAACCCAACTACATATGGGTACCAAAGGTTCACTCTCCCAAATCTTCTAATGATTCTAATGTTTCTTCATCTTCTGTTTGTGATAAGCAGGATATGTCTTGGGAGAAAGTATCTTGCATAGAAGAAAAAGGTCGACCCAGCTTCAAAATGGACTGGGTTCTAAAGACCAACTGATCACGCTCTGTTTCGGAGCAGCTATGGAGGCATATCATCAGTCTTTGGTTTGTTGATAATGGTTGCTCCTAGCACATGATAGGAGGCATCTCTCAACTGTACAACATTCAGAACTTTGTTTGAGAGTATGTGTCCTTTGCGGGAAAGGAAGAAAGGAAGGGATCACTCATGGGGTTAGTGCTTAACGATGTGAAGAATTTTCGGATCTGTTCTGAGATTATGCGTGCTGTTCTCAGACCTTCTAGATGCAAATTCAATCGGTGACTTACGGTTTGATTTTTCTTCTCGATACTCCTGAGTTTATCTTACCTGATTCATTTCAAAGACAATCTTTTCTTTCTTATAGTTTTTCGTTTGTAGGTGTTGTTTTGGGAAGTGATATCAAGATAAAATGATAATGGGCAGTCTAAAACATGTGTAAGGGACTGAATCTAAATTATCTAGACTCTGTGTTCAATGTGCTGGTACGCACGAAGGATTTGATAGTATGTATTTAGATAGGATTGTTTTGACTGACCATACGACGCTCGGGTAGATTGAGCAGTGAGATAAACACGGGAACCCACGGGATACACTAAATTAATACGCATCTAGAACTATGGCTTAACTTTTCCTTGATGTACGGACTTATGTCCTTAATTCTGGTTCTGATTGGGCGACTGGGGTTTCTGATAAAGTAGGTCTGTAGGAAATTATTTTATTGCTTTCTATTTGTCAGTCATATGTTGCTTCCTCTGCGTGATTGGAAGAGATCCGAACTGGAATGCAACATATGCAACTCTATTTCTATGCATCTTCTTTATCTACGCAATTCTTTCTATCTATGAGCCATATGCTGTCTCCTCTGCATGATTGAAATGATCCGACCTGGAACACACTATATGCAACATTCTACCTCTCAATCCCTCTATCGTAGTTAGCCATATGTTGTCCCCTCTGCGTTATTGAAAGAGATCCGACCTCGGACACAACATATGCACCTATTTCTAAATCTGACTTCCTCCTTAATAATTGTTTACTCACCTAAAGTAAGAAGTTCTTGATAACCAGGGTATATCGGGAAGTGGGGAACACGTTCTAGTGAAACTAAAATTGAACCATTTAAGAGGTTGTTTGTAGATCTCGCTGCTTAATTTAAGTGGACAACAATACCCGTGGTCATCGTCAGCTAAATGGTTTATTTAGAAAATTTTGTCGATATCCTTCGTGTTTAAGTGGACCACAATACCGACAATTGACCAGATCTATTCATGAAGGTAAAGGTACTGATAAACAAAGTTAAGACTGTCTCACAGCTTTGATCCCAAATATCTTTGTTTTTGTTAAATTTGTTCATAGTTTTCCTCTATGCACAAATTTAGGGGGAGAATTAAAAAAAAAATCAAAAATCAAACAAAAATCAGAAAATTAAAAAAAAAATAGTGTTATTTCTGTTTTATTTCTTGTTCAGAAAAATCAAAAATCCAAAAATATTTTTGTTTATGTTTTATTTTTCAGAAATTATAAAAATCCAAAAATATATTGTGTGATAAGTTTTCTTTTAGTTTTGTTTTGTCTTGAAAAGTGAATTCAGATGTAGATGAAACGCATGGAGTCTGTGTCGAAAATTTATGAGCAAAGGCTTCGTCCGTGATCATCGAAGAATTCTCATTCGAAGGAGCGAGAAATGAAGATTATTCTTTCAACATTCAATCCTTCAACCCCAGAAGCAAGGTGAAGTTGTTCTTGAAGATTAAGTGACAGATTGCATTGAAGCCTCCTCAGTCAATTTGCTGCTATTCATGTACCTGTTGAAGTGATCCAAAAGATTAGATCTCTCTGATATTCTCTCTGAAGATTCTCAAGCTGAAAGCGCTATCTTTCAAGAATCTCTACAAGAAGCCTCCTCACCCAATGTGCGTTCAGAGTCAAATTTTGAAGAAAAGCCCAACTGCTCAAGATGAAGTCATTCATTGAAGATTCATCAAGTTCATCTTAAAGTTGTGAAGAATTTGAAGATTAATGCTGAAGCCAAGCTCCCAATGAAGATTGACAACCAAAGTCAGCTACATTTTTAGGGGGAGTTTGTTGGGTCAATTAGAAAAGAAAGCTATAAACCAATGGGTAGATTGTTGGGTCAAAAAATATGTTTATACTTTACTTTTCTAGGAAATTGTAGTTTTTGGTCTTGAACCGAAAATAGCCTTGGGTTTACGGTTGTAAAC